CCAATCACTCTGCTGGGCTCCTGTGTCACTTTCAGCCCCTGCCCTGGCCCTGACCCTGACAGACAGTGTCGAAGCAGCCCCGAGTGAAAAATGAAAACTGTACGGATGTTTTACGTTATCTGGTCTCCACAGATACACCATGTGATGATCGACCACCCTGTTACCTATCTCACCTGATTCTTCACTGACAAACCTGGTGATAGTCCACCACCCTGTTAACTCCCCTGGCCAGGTGATGATTGACCACCCTGTTACCTCACTGACAAACCAGGTGATGATTGCCCACCCAGTTACCTATCTCACCTGATTCTTCCCCGACAAACCAGGTGATGATTGACCACCCTGTTACCTCACTGACAAAACAGGTGATGATTGACCACCCTGTTACCTCACTGACAAAACAGGTGATGATTGACCACCCAGTTACCTATCTCACCTGATTCTTCCCCGACAAACCTGGTGATGATCGACCACCCTTCTACATCACTGACATACCGTGTGATCATGTACCACCCTGTTCACTCACCTGGCCAGGTGACGATCGACCACCCTGTTCACTCACCTGGTTCTCCACCAACTGCCGCTGGACACTGGCCAGGTCCCCTCCCACAGGCTGCTGCTGCTGTAGATCCACCTGCCGGGCACTGACCCAGGACACCAGGCTCTGGAGAGTCTTGACCAGTCTTGACCACTGCTCCACGTTACTCTCCAGACGACCGCTGTGGACACACACAAACAAAATGACAACTTCAGACTGAATAGAACCCCTTTAGAGCCACACTTTTGCAAACATATTTTTTAAAATCATGATACTGTATCAAATTATTAAAAACTAGATTATAAATTCTTCATTACATGCTGAAGTAATTCAGTCATGGCATGCTACGTAAAGATGTGTTACCACTTGCCACAAATTGAAGAAATATTTTCCTTGTCCTAAATGACAAAATAAACTCACATCAAATCTACCCCGGCCACCACAGTGCAAGGCATTTTCTAAAACGGTATTGAGCAAAGAAATCCTTTTGAAAAGACAAAGAATCGAGTATCAAAGCATACTCACATGCCCTCTTACAGTGGTGTATTTGCTTAGAGTCTTATATTATACAACAAAAAACCCAGCGATCTTGTACTTTGGCCTAGATTGGGTGCGGCAGAAATCTAACGCTACATTGTGTTTGTGAGTGTGTGTGTGTGTGTGTGTGTGTGTGT